CCCTGGTGTATACCATTCATAAACTTGAACACTGATCCAGTGGAATTGATCCACTTGTTCCAGATGGTCTATTTCACGAAAAAATGACAGCACTAAGACAGTCAGAGTAAGATTTAAATGCAATCTCAAACCCTTATTCTACACTTTAGTTATTAATCTTAGATTTACTATTTAAGACTTGTTATATAGAAACTACAATGGCCCAAAAATATTGACACTTTAACCATTTAATCAATGGTAAACTTTAATGAACTTCTTTAGATTACTCTTTAAAATGTATAGCAAAGTAATATTTGCAAAAGTAGCAAAATAATATTTGTTTCAACAGAAAAACACTTTGAGCACAGCATCAAACTGATGGTAGACTCTGTGGAGAAAGCCTGGAGAAAAAATCCAACCAGACTGCACTAAGTGCACTGTAAAGCAGAAAGGTAGCGACATCAAAGTCTAACGAAGCTTCATGAACTATAATAATCTGAAACCCACTAACCAACTTTTGAAATAATACTTTCTATATATATATATATATATATATATAAACCAACTGGCATTTATTTTAAACAGATCATTCTAAGAATATATATATATATATATATATTCTTAGAATGATCTGTTTAAAATAAATGCCAGTTGGTTTGACATTTCCTAACAGAACGAACATCATACATTTTTAAGTATGGCACAAATGTCCAAATACTTTTTGGGTACACTGTATTACTAACTACTAATTACTATGAAACTAGTATGTAACTTAAGTATTTATGAGAATAAATTAAAGAAGGTTAAAGTGTGGGTCCAGACACAGTCTTGTGCAAAAATTTTGGGCATCCTTGGTCAAATTAGCATTAACCCCTTAAACCAGGGGTCACTAATCCTGGGGCAACACACGGCTCCAGAATTGTATTTTCAGGTAAAAATTAAATAATCCTCCTTTGCAGTAAAATAAAGCTCTGCTGATCATTCTAACACTGTTTTAACAATAAATGGTCTTACATGCTGGAATTAATGTAGCTTACAACTGCTAATTTACCAACCTTTACCCTGAAACACAGAAAACAATCTCACCTAGCTCGTATCTAACGAAAAGTCAAAGAGAAAGATTTAACACTGACATCGATAATTTGGTGAAGAATGGACTTATTTGCATTTACAAGTACTCCAGCTGGTATCCTGATATGTTTAATCAGCAATCAGAAAACAAACACTAAAAAGTCACAAAGCTGAAGTCAGATTCTCTTTTGTCAGCTTCTTGTTCAAATTCAAGTTCCACCTTAAATGGTGCATTAGTTACATTCTCAGGCACAATTTAGGGTGAAATGGAAAAATGTGAAGCTGGTAAATGAGAAGCTGACTTCTGCCTCGTAAGAAGTTGAACATTGAGAGATATTTTACAAGAAACTGTTCTACTTTTATTTCCTGTCGGAGACGTGAGAAAACCGGCTTTGAGCTAAACCTTAAAGAAGAACAAAGTAAGTCTGCAATTTCATTTATATTTTTATCCTATACTAGTACATCAGCACATACCGAGACGTATTTGCAGCCAAGATGGTAAAATGGATATAAAATCTTGTGGCTCCACACAAAACTTGTGGTTTGATTTTTGTTGAAAGGACAAAATGGCTCTCATTTGGGTTGCCAACCCCTGCAGTAATCTTATTTGCAAAGAGTTAGTGTGGCTGCAGGTTTTAATTTCAACATATTTCTGCAAATTTTAATGCATAACTACTAAGCATTTGCTGAAAGGGTCTGTGTGGCTGCAGGTTTTCATCCCAATCAAGCAGAAGGACACCTGGTTCCACTTATTTAATCATTTAGTCTCAAACTTCAAACAACTGACACTGTTACAGTGACGGGAAACAAGTATTCAGATATATTTTTTTTAATATTTAATATACTTCTGCTGCATATATCCATTTAAAATATACACACATAATATAATTTGCTTTTGTGCTTAAAATACTTTTTGTTCATATGTATTCAAACACAAAGATATGTAAAAATTGATAGGGGAAAAGTATTTAGAAACTAACTAAATAAATAAATGCTATATAAATCAAGTTTGAGACCATATGCAAGTGGAAAGTTAATGGAACCACAACTAAACAGGTACTTGCAAGATTTCACAATGTGCTTTCAGATTAATAAAAAGGAAGATGTACGAGTTGCAGGCAAATCAGAGCTATTTTGAAGAAACGTGCTCTGGTTAGAGCTGGGCGATATGGCCAAAAATGTTATCACGATAAACAAAACTCATATCGTTCGATATCGATATATATATCGCGATAAATGTCAAATCATTATTTCTTTCACGTTTGAAGGCTGATTTTGCTCCTGGGTGGTTAATTGTGGTTTTAAACTATCACTTATGGTCCGATCATGACAAACACTCACCAAACAGTGGAACATTTCACTAATCTGTCTCGGGAGAGTGGGAGAAAGTTTCTGAGCTGTTTTTTATTAGCTGGATAAGCACAGCTGCAATTTTTGTAATAGTCATAATTTAAGAAAGAAAACAGATTATTTTTAGCTGTCTGGTGACGAGCGCTCGGCTGTCCTGTTACAAATGCTAAACAACTGGCCAACAACAGTGCTAAACTCTTTAGTTTCTCAACAACGACAACTCGGTAGGTCACTGCTGTCACTCCTACCACATCCATGTCAGAGCATATCACAGTATTCAGACACCAGCTAGCGACGACTGGATTTCTCTATACTATCATGGTAGTTTGAGAGTTTGAGGGGTGAACCGCAAAATATCTGATGTTCGCTGTGTAAAAGCATTATCTGCAGTGTGAATCTCTCGCACCAGTCACAGAGTCCTCCTTTTAGGTATGTTTAAACTGAAAGCGGTGATTTTGTGTCTTGTTTGATCTACCGTATCATCAATTCTCCGTGTTGTGCCGGAGTGCTGCTGTAATTAGCTAGCAGCTAAAAACAGCTAGCCTGGAGAGATGGCGCTCTCCCTCTTCCCAATGCCTCACAGCTTCCTCAGTTTACTTTCGTTTAAATCAGGACTGTAATTTGCATGAACTCACTTCTTTCTTTCACTTTCGTTGCTCGAGAATGCACTAATACTAAAATATGACGGTTTGGCGCTGTAACACGGCGCTGCAGACGTGATTTAACACCGCTAAAGTTGTTAGGATGCATGGAAAGAGGTGAGTTCGCTGTAGGACAGTACAGATACGCCACTGACCTCGTCACTCACACTCGGTCACAGGAGAACAGATCGCCGGTCGCTCCACTCAAACAGGGAATGTATAACTCCACGTTTCAGACGTTGCTAAAGTATATTTGACGACCATTTTTTACTCGTGGCCCCCTCCCTCTCTAATCAAGTCGAAAAACTCGGAAGTGTGCCCTCTCCTGGCGACAGCAGAGTAGTGTCGCTTTCCTTGCAGTAGAAAACGCCACCAAGGCTTTCGCTGAACGTGGAAGTGTGAGAATGGTGTATTATATCGAACGTTTATCGAACCTGTCTTATCCCTCTATCGAGGAAAAGTTACATCGCGTTACTTGTCGTTAGCGTTTTATCGCCCAGCCCTAGCTCTGGTCAGACAAAACAAATATACAACCCTTTGCCAATAATTCACTTCATCATATTTGAAGAAAAAAGGGTTGCATGTATGATCAAGAACACCACACCTACAGTGAAGTACGAAGGTATCATGACATGAGTCTGCTTCTCTTCAAATGGTGCTGGGGTATTATATGTCTTCAAAGAAAACAAAATTGAATCAAAATAACGGGAAATATTAGAGGAGAACTTAATCTCATCAGTCAAGAAACTGATCCTGGGGAGAAGACGGATGTTTCGACAAGACAGAGTCCCCCAATCATACAGCCAAAATAACTTAAGACTGGTTTCTAAAAAAGGTGCACGGCCTAGCCAATCTCTCAACTTGGATCCCACCAAAAATTCATAGAAGATTTTGAAAGTCCATCAGGGGGACCTGATGCACCAAAACAAAACCACAATGCTGCAAAAAGCTAATCATTTCTTGCTGTTGATGTCTCAAAGCTGTATTAACCAATTAAGTCTAACCAATAAGTACTAATAGCAGTATTAGTAATTTGTGATCATTAATACATAAATTTCTGTTCATATTTATAAGCACAAAGTCAAAATACGTTTGCATTTTTAAAAGGACACTGAATTCAGCAAATGAATAGAAATTGTACACTAAATTTTGCAGGAAATGCAAATCTCTCAAATAACAGAAACGTAAGTGTCTGAATATTTGTTTCTCCCTATTATATATGAGGTGTGTGAATGACAACCAGCAAACCCCATAAGCTCTTGAATAAGACTGGAGACCCCTCATTTAAAGGGTTAATGCTAACTGGCTGCCAATAGTTTTCCTTCTTGATTAGAAACCTTACTATTTTGGCTGCAGAATTCCTGTACATTGATATTAAGAGCTTCCACTCTGGCTAATCTGTAAATAATAGCTTGCAGAGAGAGAGGAATGTAGCGATCGTTTCCTCCTGGTATTGGAGGAGAATTTGGGCACCCAGGTGGAGTCACTGCTTCTCCCCCTCACTGATTGGGGGAAAGTAGATCATCCTGTATAAACGCCTACTCTCCTAATAAAGGCTGATTTCCCATGAGTCCCCCAGATGAAATGAGAGCTAGCAGTACAGGAAGTGATTAAAGTGCAACTGCCTAAGAAAAAGCCGGGTACAATGTAAACGTGTCATTACTTCAGGCACTTAAAGAAAAACAGGTATATGTAAAAGTACTTGAGCGCTGTCACAAAAGAACCAGCTCTGTTATAATTTCTCAAATCTCTGCTTTCTCCTTGAGACAACAGATGTTGTCTGTACATGACATGCACTGCTCAAAATGAGATGGGAAACAGTAATGACTTACGATTAATGTCGTCCGCACAACAGCAGGTTGTGCTACATTAGTTAATCAAGTTCCACAGCACACCTCACAAAGGCAGTGCGCCTTAGCCACAGCCCACCACACTGAACACCTTACAGGGAGGGAGAGGGAGAGGAAACTAGGGCACTGTTATCTGGCCCCATTTTTTTCCAAGCCAAAGCAGAGATCTGTGGACAGCGAGCAGCAGTGAGGAGGCTGTGAGTTTCCGTGTTGAGTTTTTTTTTTTCCATTCGCATCAAAGCAACGCGTATAGATCCTCAGAATTAAAGTAGACTTTGCAATTAAAATAATAACCTACAGCCGGGTTTCTCGCCAAGTGAGCTTGTCCCGCCACGATGCTAGAAGATAAGAAGACCAAGGTGAAGATCACTTTCCTGGTCATCCTGGTGGGCATCTCGTCCATGCTGGCTGCCGTGGTGACGGATCACTGGGCAGTTCTAAGCCCCAGGGTGGAGAAGCTCAACACCACCTGCGAGGCGGCCCACTTTGGGCTCTGGAGGCTGTGCAAGAAGAGCATCTTCATTGTGGAGGAAGACCCTCAGGGCAAAAGCTGTGGCCCCATCAGCCTGCCTGGAGGTAAGTGTATTGTTTACAGAGCTTTTCACCCCATTCTTGGCACAGATAAACTCTACCTGCGCTACTTTAGCTCAGGGCGAGTCAGTGGACAATAGTGGCAGAATTGCCAGACAACAGCAATCTTGATCTGAAGTGGAGCAAAGGGCAATCAGTGAGAAGAGAAAGTGGTCTACAGAGCAAAGCAGGCTGAGGCAACTCTATTCACCTCACTTTCTTATCTGTAAGGTAACTGTCCAGACAGCAGGTCAACTGAACTCACACCATTTTGCTGTACATGATGTCATCTCGGTGTACGTAAAAGAGATACCTTGAACTGTTGTATTGGTAGACGTTTGAGTGCAGATAAATGGAAAGCAGATGGATCTGCTTATGAGAGTTAGATCATCTCATTATCCTTTATGGCACTCCGGGGAAGAAGCGACCTCATTGTTATGTCTCAATTCACAAGCCTGGATAAACGACAGAAGAAAGAGCAAGAAAGCAATGGCAAGGTACGACTGGGACTGATCTAGACGAGAGTGTGTATTGTTCTTGCTATGTTAAATTAAAATCGAACAGAGAGCCACTTTTGGGCTTGACACCATGATACTCTAAAAAGATAAAGCGTTCTAAATGGTTCTAGTCTTGGAATACACTTCTAGGAACTTTTACATAATGTGGGATCTTTAAAGCTTAAAAAGGCTCTACACACCTGCATATCTCACACACAGCAATGGTTCTTTAAAGAACCATCATTCAAAAGGTTCTTAGGGAACCAAAGTGGTTCTTCTATGGCATCTTTATTTTAAGGGTCCATATCATGGAAAGCCAAATCTTCCTTATTTAAAGAAAAAGTGTAATAAATCAGTTTGATGTAGGAAGGAAAAAAAAAACTGTACAAAATGCCATGTTTATGTATTCCCCTGTATATGATTGCCCATGTTAACTTATTTTAACTTATTTTTAAAAAAAACTGGGTATTAAAACATTTGCAGCCTACATCAGTTTAGGCCCACCCATTCACACTGAAGTTATAAGAAACTGATTTAGCACAAACTGTTTTTTAAATGAGGCACATCACAGAAAACAAATCAGAAGTCATTTACACATATCAGTCTTAAAAGCACAGTAACAAAAAGCAGCCTGTATAATTCTAAACAATCAAGAGAGGCTGGAAATGGTCATGTAAAATGAATGATGACTGTTTTTTCTACATAGACCAGCATAAACATCATAAGTAGATACTGGGGTAAAAACACAAAGTTAAATCTATGGTCTATGGATATGGTCCCTTAACGAGTGATCTCTACAAGTCACTGTGTTCACAGTATAACCTGTTGATTTCAGGTGGAAAGAAAAATGCTAGTCTTCATTGATTTCAATGATGACTAAATGGCAGGATAAATGATTGGGCTGAGAGACAGAGTACAGATGAGACATCTGACGACTATATCAGTCTTTCTGTCCAGAGTGTTGAGCAATGCGCTGCTTGAGCAGTAATGTACACCCTCTGTCACTCCTCAAAGGTGATAAATGGAGAGATCACATACTTTTTGTATGCCACAGTGGCTGCAGGCTGTAATGGAGCGAGCCCCTGTGCTCCGGTGAATGTGCTGGGAAGACGTCCCTCAGGGCACGACCCAGAGATTAAACCATAACAATGGCAGCTGTCTCTTAGAGGGCCACAGCCGCTGCCCTATTCTACCCAACCATGTGCAAGTCCCTCAGGAACTTTCCAGTGGCATTGTAATGTTCTTTCTTATGTGGCCAGATCTCAGGGTGCACTCGGGATTTATCTTTAGGTTTCATGTTGTCCACGGTCAAAAGAATTTCAGTGATTTCATAAACTACAACAATACCCTTCACCCAGTCCATACTGACCATATATGGAAACTAAGCTGCAAATACAGCCCGTTTTGAACCTGTTTTTGTGAAAGGCAGAACATGTTCTCTAGCCTCCATGAACCCTATTTCCTATTTACCAGAAAAGGAATGTTACAACACACCACCCAGTCATAACATGGCTAAGTTTCTGTAGCATGTTTTAAAGTAGACAACCTGCTTCTTTTAACTTATCCTGTATTAATGTGAGTGCTCATCAATTTATAAATGGGCTGGTTGCACCAACATGTCTTCACTAAGGTAGTCTTAACTTACTACTCACTACTGGCATCTTGCCAACTGTTGCTGCCAAAATAAAAAAAAGCATTAGTAATTTCATTAACAGTGAAACTGGCATATTGATTAAATTATACAGTCTGCTTACAGTCACATTAAGGGAAAAACATTTCCACAGCTCAAGTTAAAAAAAAAAAAAAGTCAACATAGTCAGGGTTCAGAAGGTCAGAAGGTCAGCACACAGCAGAATATAGTTGCTCGACCATTCTGAACTGTGACCATCCAGAGATGTACTGTTATTCGTGACCCCCTCACTCTTGGTCAGAGGATTCTACTTACAGCCCACACCAAATAACTTATCTACAGTAATAAAATCATTAATTTCAACTTTTAATTGTGTTTACACTGAGCGCACCAGCAGAAAACAATAAAGCAGTGCCATTACATACAGATATCTAATGCTGAAATCTCTTTTTTAAACCAGTGCTTCAATAATCTTCCCAATGTGTGGGATATGTTAGCATCAAGCTAGTGGGATTAGCTTGGCGCTTTATTGTCTTTTGATGTCAACTGTAGTTTAAATACAGACATTTTAAGCCTGTAATAGGCATGTAAGTAACATTCTTTACTTTTTATTTCTAAATGTAACTAAATTTCTAAATTTAACTAACTCTTTTTTTTAAGGCTTGAGCGTGATGTCTGAATATTAGTTATGTAGCGTCAGCCTACTCTACTAAGGGGGAATATATCCAGTACGCCTCAGAGACCTTTAATGGGACAAAACAATAACTTAAAATACCGTGGTGACGTGAAAAATAAGGTGGATAACATAACGTGGACATTAGCTGTGGAAGTACGTCTCTGCGGACTGCCGCCCTCACAGCAAAACCTCGCCAACGGCTGGCTGCTCTGTGGGCGTCGCTAAAATACGGGCAGGTTCAGCTGTCCAAGCAAGATTGTTAGGCTAGTTCGGTGCTCAGATGAAACGCAGGTGAGAAAAGTTCTAATATTCTCTTTTTTAACGTGAATTAATGTAAAACTCTCCACAAACCTTCTCCTCCATCTTCTGTCTGATCTTCGCTTGTAGTTTGAATGTGGACGTGACACACAACGTAACGCACCGCGGCACTTTAACAATCTGATTGGCCGCTGCTCTGCGGAACTCGCTCCTCATTTACATAAAGATGAGAAAAGCTCTGTTACATCGGTCTCTCCGCGTGATTCGCGCCGTTACCACTCCCACAATCCCTCACGCACGACTGCCGCCTGTCTCCACAGAAATGTAGGTAAGAGAGGAGAAACTGCAGTTGCCATTGTATGTAGCATTAAACACTTGCTACGTTGCTAGTTCTGATTTTACTTGTATATTAAAGGTGAGGACATTATCACACAAAATGGCCACCAAACGCAAAGATTCTTACCCAAATCAGGGGTCGGCAACGCACTCTTACCGTCCTGTTGCGGCTCCACAGCATATATATATATATATAGATATATATATATATGGAAAAAATACAAGAATCCCCCTTTTCAGTAAAATAAAGCTCTGCTGATCGTTCTAACAAAGTTTTAACAATAAATTGTCTTGAACACTGGAGTTAATGTAGTCTGTAACTGCTAATTCACCCTTTAACCCTGAAAGTTTGCATGCAGACTGTTGGTCATCACAGCAATGCAGACAACAATCTTGCTTAGCTAGTAGCTAACGAAAACTTACTTGCATTTATAAGCACTCCAGCTGGTTTCCTGATGCGTTTAATCTGCAACGAAAAACTGTCAAACACTAAAATGTTGTGAAGCTGAAGTCAACTTCTCTTTCACAAGCTTTTTGTTCGAATTTTTGCTGTTAGCTACATTCTGGCGCCACAGACACCATTTAAGGTGAAACGGTAAATTCGAACAAGAAGCTGGTGAATGTTTAGCTGACTTCAGCCTCGTAAAAATATCGAAGATTGAGAGACATTTTACAAGAAAGTATTCTACTTTTGAGGAAAAGTTTCCTGCCAGAGATGAGAGAAAAGTGCCTATAGCTGAGCTAAAGCTTAAAGCAGAGCAAAGTATGTTTTTTCATTTATATTATATTTTTAGCCTATACTAGACTAGGACATTAAAACCTACTGAGACATATTTACAGCCAAGATGGTAAAATGGACATAAAATGTTGCGGCTCTAGAGGTGGTTTGTTTTTTCTTGAAAGGACAAAATGGCTCTTTTTAACATTTGGGTTGCCGAGCCCTGCCCTAAATAAACAAAACAACAAATATCTTTTTCTGTTTTTAATTGACAGGTTTAAAACATATGGGAATATTTGCAAAACTAGATTGTTTATAGTGGTTATAATAGATGAGAAAAGGAGAAAAGGATTAGAATTTGACTTTATGCCAGCTAGGCATTAAAGTTACACTCATTTATTTATTTTTTTTTTAATCTTATGGCTAGTCTTGAAGTTATGCCCAGAAAATTAAAAACAAAGTAAATCCAAGTGTAAGCCCTGTTGGTGTAACAAGCCCTTAGTGTGAAATTTTATTTTCTTACCTAAAAATCTGTTTTTGTTACATACATATGACAGAGTTTCATCTAATAACTTTCAACTTCTCATGTCAACTCAGGAGGGTAGTGAATCTTTACAACAGTGACATCACCCATGTAGTTTATTTCTTATTGGTGAAAGTGGGGGTGTTACAATTCTCCATAATCTCACCTATCATATGAGTGGAGGATTTACAGAAAGACATCTTATATTACCATTGCAGAAACAGGCCCGCAGATTACCCTATATGGATCTGGATCTATGCTCAAGTTTTTGCCACCAATCCAGAACTCGAAAAGGCCAGAACCTTTAAGTTCTCCTGAACTCAGAACTCAGAAAGTACAAGGAAGCAGATCAAACAGTCTGGCTTTTG